TGTGTGTGTGTGTAAACCCAAATATTCAATATGCGTGTGTGTGTTGGTTCTCATTTAATTTAGATCCTCGAACATATCATCCAGGATTTCTGTGTAATATTTAGCAACACTTTTTACAAAAACTTTATCTTTGGTTTTGAGCGGTTCACCCACCTTGAAGTTATCGTTTTCATAATGCCGTTAATTTTATTTTAAACAAGGCTCAGTAAATGAGATTTCTTTAAGATTCACATTGTTTAAAAAGTCCTTGTCGCCTTGAAAATCCTCGTTCAAAATTCTAGTTTTGAAATGAATTCGAACACTTACCAGTGTTATTAATATTGACGTTGTAATCCATCAGATAACCTCCGTTTTAACATTTACATATATCATCGTCAACGCGCGTATTTATTAACTTAACTGTTATTAGCTAAAATAATGAAACCTTTACTTTTAGTAGTGATTCATACGTAATACAGGATTTTATTTCTTATATAATATTCGTTGGAATATTTGTCTTTTAAAAGTATTCTCCAGCTGTACGTTTTCTTATCCACGTTTATTTGTTCTTCCTTTAATTCTTTCTGTTTTTCAGATTCTTTTTTTAAATTTTGTACACTTTTGTATTTTGCACGTATTTTTTTATTTTATTATTAATCGCCATCTTTCTTTCTTTTTAAATTTTTCGTTCTATTATTTCTTTCATGCCGATGCACTTCTTTCATTTTTATTCTTTATTTAGACACTTTTAGATATCTCTGCCAATTTTTCTCTATTTCCTTTATTAATCCGCTTATCTTACATTTTTACATTTCTTGTAAAATCCTTAATTCTGATTTTTTCCTTCTCAAATAAATTTTCATTATTTTCCTGAATCAATTTATGTCTTCTTCTAGAACCTTTATTATATCGGTTGTTAAGAGTTTATTTTTAAAATGATTCCCATTGATTCACTCATTTCGACTGCAGGGCAATTTCTGTCTGAATTTATATGTCAGTGGAAACAATAACTTCGCAGCAATGGCATCACAGTACTAAATAAGATGTAAACGAGATATCGCTAGATATATACAACGGAACTAGAAGAATAGTCTTGTAGATTAAATAAAATATTCCGTACCAAATTATCAGGAAGCTACCTGAACCGGAAAACCCATGCAGAAGTGCTCAACATATCAACCGTTGTGTTGTGTGAATAAAAACGTAATTGTAATTAATATAACTAATGATAAGGATAAAAGACAAATTACTTGCAATGTGTAAATGACTATTAAGGGTGTCTATATTTCTGGTAAAAGAGGAAATGTCATTAACTATATATTTTACCTCCACATATTAACCATGGCTTTACCGAAAGAAGACAGAAATGACTTCTTTTTCTGGGGTATGCTTAAGAAGGTCTACTCAATAAAAATCACAATTGCAACACACTAGTCTGAACGAATAAAAAGTGGATGTGCTAAAATTGACGGCAGTGTGGAGTTATTGCATCGAGTTCACGTGAATCTTGCAAAGCATTTCAGAAATACTAGAAATCATATTGAGGAATTTATATAGGTCTAGACTTGGCATCTCGAATCCATAATCGTAATATGGCTTCCTTCTGCCTTTTCTACAAATATTTTCATGGCAACCTCTCTGACGAGCTATTTTTACTGGTGCCCCGTTTCCATAAATTTAAGCGTGCTACTAGGTTGGCATCTCGGTCCCACGCTTTTAAGGTAAAAAATGATAAATGTAACCGCCTCTTCTACTCCAACAGCTTCATCTCTCGTACTTCCCGACAATGGTACTCCCTTCCTCTTACTTGCTTCCCTGATAGCTATAATCTTCAAATATTCAAATGTAATGCCAATCGACATCTTCTGATCCCTTGATCCTGATCACCGTCCTTCTCTTTATCCTTTCCTAAAAAAAAAAATCTATTTACTCGTGAAATGCTTAAAAAAAAATCGATTTCATATTCATTAAAATTTTAAGCATTGTTTTTAAAACGACAAACATTGTCAAGGGAGTGAATATAGGTAAAATAATAGCGGTGTCGAGGGAAAAGCTGTGCTTTGGACATACCGTTTTATTCCGAGCACGAAGAGTCAACTTTGCCGAACACTCTATAACTTTATGTATATTCAAATGTACAAGAAACTCCATCATTATATATTTGTCGATCATGCAATAAGTAAACATAACTCGAGCAACTATAGTAAAGGAAGTTGTCATTAATACTCAAGGAGTAATCAATTCCTAACAATATATTCTAGGGATATCATATTTCTATACCTTCGTGTAAAATGTACATGATTCTTGCATTCTAACATTCTTTTACAAGCAGCAATAGAATTTATTGTATTAAAAAATCGAGATTACATATACAGAAAATATATGCAAAGTAATTGAACGATTATTTATATATCACCATAAGATCCTGAAAAAGGGATCTAGTGAAAAACAAATTTCTTCAAGAAAGCAACTCTAGTAGTCCTACACATGATATCCTTAGAGTGAAAGTGACTCTTTTTATTAAAACATTTTATAGCAAAATTTGCCTCCGTTCAATATCGTGACGGTAGGCATATACATATAATCATGTTTCCAGCTAAAATATACTGAAAGATGATTTTCGTTATTAAGACTCGTTTCCATAGGCCGGTAGTCATAGATCTGTACTTCAAAACTAGGGATCATTATAACAGTATATACCGATTTTGAAATTAATTAAATTATAATTGAAATTATAAATTTGGATTTTTCGTCGATAAAACTATTTTAAACATGACGAATTTTTTTTTTCCTTCCAAACTTTGTCTTCAAAACAATGATGCGTCTTATATACCAGCGTGCTGTATATTCCGAAAAATACGCTAAATATATATCGATGTGCACAGATATCTATATTTTGAAATTGCTTTTACCTATTCCCGCCCCGGGCTGAACGTTCAATAAGCGAAAATCACGTGGTGTGATTTAATGGGCGTCGCCTTTCGATGGAAGCTTTGATATCCATGCTTTCTCTTCAACACAGCAGTTCCTCAACGTCCTCACTCAGTGGTCGTACGCGGAAGCATATATTAAGTATTTCGGATGGCGATATCGGCAATTAAACCTGATCATGCATATTGTCTTGCCTGGCACTGTGGGGGGTTGGCACTGTTTCCCCGTGTGACATCACTTATACTGAAATATCGATAAACTAAGGCAAAATCTAGTGAACAAACGGTGACGGGGCTGGCCCTTCAGTCTGACTTCGATAGGGTCAGTGCATCGTATGTCAGTCATTTTACGTGTCGTCTCCATCTCCGGTCCCGAGTCATTCGTCCGTGATGGTCAGTATTAAAGATTTGTGGCCCAAAGGTGACGGTCATCTGTGTATCATCTGAGACAAGAGCCACTTTTAGACAAAAGGAAACTATGACATTATATACATAAATAGGCATTTTCTCCACTAAATTTGGATGTCTGGGAACGCTTGGCTCGGGTATGTACGCTTAAAATTCTCGCCATAAATAAAAGAGAAAGTTTATTGGGACTGAGATAGGATAGCAAATCTTCTGAACAGACACAAGCCTAATGTAGCCATGTGTACGCAATTACTGAGAGACTCGTCAGTCTCCTACACGTATAAATAAATGTTGCGGGCATAGAATAAAAGAAAATTGAAATGGTATTCAATTCAGCGTTTGACAGAGTATAGGGTGGGCGAAACTGGAATTTGGGGTAGAGAAAAAGGTCTGCTAAAAGTGAAGCAAAGTATTAAGAAACAGGGAAATTTCGTTAGAAAGAAAGAAAAGGTACATGGTATCAGTCTTCCTCTATAGAAGTAAATGATGGAAACTCTGCAGTTTAAATCCGAAAAAAGAAACTTGAAGCAACCGAAACGTGGTTCTACAGAAGGATGCTGAGAATACCATGGACGAAATATGTGAGCAATGATGACATTTTAGAGAAAATGGTGACAAAAAACACTGAAATTGAGGATGAGACAGTTGATATTTCTCGAGAATATAATGAGGAAAGAAAAGCTTTGGAATTGTGAGAAACACTGATGAGATGACCATCCGAGTCAAGAAAACTCATAACCCATCAAGAGAAACTTAATTAAATGGATGGTGGCTCAAGGGTTAAGAATGATAAGAAAAAGAAAAAATTTATATATTAAAAGCTGCATAGGACAGGAAATTGAGGAGAGTCATGATCGCCTACGTCCTGAAGGTACACGGCAGAGAGAAGAAGAAGAAGAAGAAGAAGAAGAAGAAGAAGAAGAAGAAGTTTGAGTGTATACTAAGTGATGCATTAGTTCCGACTAATATAAAACATCATTATCATTGCAAAAAATTATGAACAAAGCAATACTCATAGAAAGTAAGAGAGAAGAAAAAGAGTTCTCCTTGCAGGGTGCTTAATATAAAATTAAGCTTTCCAAAAAACAACAAACTTCTGACGACAAACATTGATAAGGTTCTTTATTAACGCTGGCTCATATCCCGACACACTTACCTTACTAACGGGTTTGTTTCTCATTCTAGCCTAAGGAAGCCTACTATAAGAGGCATAAGGCGGAGTTAAATAGCTGTTATACTTTGTTTTATGATCTCTATTTTTATTCGAATATAATTCTACATCAGACTCTCACCCAAATACGCATTATGCAAAGCAAAAACAAACCCACATCGAGGAATCGGGACTTGGTAAAGTTTAATACGTCACGGGTCTAGCGATGTATTTTGATGAGGGTCTACTGATCTACTTTGAGAGGTTCTAACGATGTATTTTTGAGAAGATCTATTTTTAGCGCGTCTACTAATCTACTTTGAGAGTGTCTACTGATATACGTTGTAATTAAGCAATAAAAATTAAGTATTTTAACTAGACTAGAACAAAGTTTTCGAAATGCGGTTAATGCTCCAAAAAAATATTCCGATCTACAAGCATGTAGTTTATTTGAATTTGGATTTACGTGATAGATAGATAGATAGATAGTGAGTTAGATAGATAGACAGACAGACAGACAGAGAGTCAGTCATTTAGTTTATGATGTTTTTATACTATTCTGGTGAAAAATCTTCTTCCCTCTTGCTTTTTTTTTGGTATAGCAGACAATTTATTACCGTAAAAGATACTCCAAGAAAGCGAAAAATGATTAAATCTAATTTTTTACACAAAAGTCCGCCCAATTCAAGGCTCAAAACCTACTTAAGACGGTTACTGAAGGATGTCGTGATTCCTTAAAAGCATCAAGTTAGAAGTGGATATTATGTGTGTATTCTAGGATATGTAACGGTTGACTATAGATTTGAAAAGATCGTAGCAATCATGGAAGCAACCGCTCAGGATTCGTTCTACAAAATAACATTTCTGGGAAGCCAAAATGGATAAATGGAAACTCCTTCAACAATGGAATATAAAGAGAATGTAGATGCCAACTTTGCGTGAGGTGATAGAAAACATTATCGAAAAAAACTTTAACACTTTTACTTCATCAAAATATTATATATATATATATATATATATATATATATATATATATATATATATATCATAAATGGTAATAATCCGTTGTTAAATGATCAAATAAATATGACAGGTAGATCAGAATAAACCTACAGAGTTCCGAAAACCTTTCCTGCAATATTCTTTCTGTAATTGGCCTAACATGGTCATGGAGGAGAATGTAATTTGTCTATTAATCTATTTGCTACTAATGCGAAAAATAGGTACGTAATTCTTAGGATATAGGATTAGCGGTTAGTTTGATACATTAAAATTGGTTCTCCAAAAGGTATATTACTTATGACGCAAATTAATAATTAAAAAGTCAAATCATTCCGTGCCTAAAATTAAAAAAAAAACAAACTTTTAAATGTTAACCTTTTTTATTGGTATTTATATAGAGATTTTCTCAGCGTAGTCCAGATTTGGCACATGGCCGAATGTTTGAGTACCCACAGGGAAGATGGAACTCACTTTTCAGTCATAATTGATCTCATGAAACAAGCTTGCTAAACATTCCACAATGTTGAAGAGCTCAAATTAAAATTGATATGAACTGGAAAGTTTTTAACGCTGCTGGCTTCTGTTATTACACGATGCTGAAACGTGCCCATTCAGCAAGACATTAGTCTCCCGCGTCAATGGCTTCGTGTCCCGTACCCTATAGACCATCGAGTGGTTGCACTAGTTCGATAATTTCCAATGCTGAAACGTGCCCATTTATCAAGATATTAGTCTCCTGCGTCCATGGCTTCGAGTCCCGTACCCTATGGACCATCGAGGAGTTGTACTAGTTCGATGTTTTCCAATGCCTAGCTCCGGCGGAGGATCGGCCGGCTGATCATTCTCTGCACCGTCGCTAAGTGTCGTACTCGCTGGCTCGCTCACATCCTGCGACTATCTGATGACCACCATACAAGAGTCATCTACTAGTTCGACCTGCCATTTGCAAGCTGGCGACGACCTCGCGTCAGATCACGCAACCGCTGAAAGTATGTCGATCAGGACAGAGCAGTATATTAATCTGGTACTGGAGGATGTTTCTACGCTCTGCAAAGACCGTGAGAATTATGGGACAAGGTGTATCTCATGGGTTCAACGTATTCATCGCAGGAGGTTTCTCAGTAGAATGTATAAAATATGAAATGTACTCTAAGTATCTTTATTTTCATCTAATTTCGAAACAACTAAACGTTGAGAAAATGTGTGGCCATTTTAGGAAATTCCTTTCTAGAAAGTGAAAGATGTAGGTCTTCGTGAGGACCATTCCTCTTCGAAAATTGTGAGGTAACTCTACAAATGCACACGCAAAGAACGTTACAAAATAAAAGAAACAGCCTCACATGGGGGCTCTTATCAACAGCAAAAACTAAAATGGATAACACATGTAACTGGAAGAGAAAAAAATGACATGAAGACTTTGACGTCCCACACTTTTTCGAACAAAAGTTTAGGAACTGAAAGAAAAAAAAAACAAAAAACAAAAAAAAACAAACAATAACAGTGTAGTCGAGAAATTTATTTTCCTGGAAAACCGCTTTAATAGTAGGATTTTATAAATTTCAACCGAAAACAGCACTGGCTGCTCGGTCAAAGAAGGTTGAACGTTTTATTATAAGTAAGGAGCTAATATTACTATTAACATTCATTTTAGAATATATGTCTTCAAATGTTACCGTAATTCCCCGTTGTATAACACGCATATTTTTCTAAAAAATAATAAGCGAAACCCGGGGTGCGCATTAGGCACAGCTATAAAAATCTTTCAAAAAATTGCCGTAAAATAAAATAAGAATTATCATCAAACTAAATTAGAATAATATTATGCTATGTTTAAAACCATTTCTTTTTTAAATAAGAGTAGGAAACGCCGGCCGTAATGAAATTTGAGAGGTACAATGTACAGGGTTTGATTAAGAAACAAAAGGTGCGTATTATGCGTCAGTGGATGCTTTTTCTCACCCTTTCGGTACAATTTTAGGGGCGTGTGTTATGGATAAAGTCTTATTATACATGGGAAATTACGGTAATTCAATTTACCATTTGTTTAATTATGGTGATTTTCTTAGCGTAGCTTACATGTGGCTCAAGCAAGAATATAGGGGATAAGTATCGAAATATCTAATTAGTCATTATTAACCTTGTGAGGCAAGCTTGTTAACCATTACATCACGTCGAAGTGCCACCGTTTATTTAATTATAAACGCATGATATATTTCCATAAATATGACATACTCAAAATATTTTATTTTTTATTTTTTAAACTAAACAGTGACTATAATACTATTATTAATTTCAAAGAGGAAAAAAACTACTCTTTGGAAAAACTAAAATATATTCCCAGATTTGTTTGACTTTTCATAAATAAAAGGTTTTCCAATAACTTGCACCGATTTTAACGTGAATTAATATTAAGCGTCTAATGATTTTTGCTTTATCTTTCAGATTTGTGTGATGCTATTTTTCACACGTAATTGTCATGACTTGAATAACATGATCCAATTGAGAAGTAAATACATTTTTATCAATAAAACTGATTTAGTTAATGCTGACTTTGATCAGTTTTAATGAAATACCCTTATATATAACCCGTCTTAATAAAACATACTTTATTTCTGTACGAAAAATTTTATTTGAATTTTCTTTCGTCCTTTTATTTTACAAGTTTAACGATATACTACAGCTTATTCGTCTCCCGGTCCATATTGACAAGAAGGAATCTGTGGAGATTAGCCAAAATGCAATACCTCGGTAAACAAGAGGTGCCAAGCACAGAGGAAATACTGACATTTGCTCATCAGCCCCAGGCCTGAATAGGTCATTAGAATTACAGCGCCAATCATCTTATTCGGATCGTAATCAAAATTTAAGGGTTTCCTTTCCTGGCGCGGGTTCAACCACTACTGATATTGAGATTGAATATCACAAGGGATGAAGTAATAAAGTCCTAACATCGAGTCGGTATATCGCTGCGGGCTTTCGTCATCCAATAATCAATAGGCAAATATCAGTAAGCAACGCGCTGTCATTTTATCAATGATTCAACGCTAATATTCTTCAAGGGACAATTTATTGAAAGAAGTCAACATGGCTTATTTAGTTGCATATTAAAATTTAGTTTGCATCACTCCCATCAATGAGGTAATAAATAAGTAATCAAAATTTATTTTCTCATAATTACGCATAATCGGTAAGGATTATGACCCGTTCTAAATTTCGTATGCCAACTTTAATTTCGGCTGAAAATAAAGTAAAAACTTGTCAATCATTTGGATATTGTTTATTAAGCAATTCCTTGATCTGTATAACTACTTGGAAAAGGAGTCATCTGAGCCGGAACTTTAGATCAAGGAACAGTTTAATAAAAAAATATATATATTATATTTATAATTACATACGCTCTACCTTTGATATTGAGCAATTTACTCCATAAATATAACACACCTTAAAACTATATTTCTTCATATATATATATATATATATATATATATATATATATATATATATATATATATATATATATATATATATATATATTTCAGAATAGAAAGACGACTCTCATGCCAAAGCCAATCGTTGTCCTACCAACTAAATCTCTCGCAACTTCAGTTGGAAAGAATCTATCTAAACTCATCATAATATTCTTTAGTACCAAAACTAAAACAATAAAGTCTTAGTCAGTCCGAAACAAAACAATACGCTAAAACTTGAAAGAGGAATTTACTCGATCGACAGCAATAACTGACACAAAACTACGCAGGAGAAAAATCAAGGAATCTAAATATAAAGATTACATGAACAAAAAAAGAACAAAAAAAAAACAAAAAAAAACAACTATTTTACAAAAGAAAGCGTTGGTTACCTACCGTAACGAGACTGACCACATTTTTGACAAAATATTAATCTGATCAAAGGAGAAACAACACACTACGATGCAAATGTCTAGAGAGTACTTTGATTAGAACATTATCTACAGCGACCTGGCTAATGTAATAGTTTCCCATTCCTAGCAGAACGTCTATTATACTAGTGTGAGTTATGTACTAACAAAAGTGATGGAAAGAAAATAACAACTTAAATAATGTTGGTTAGTTAAAAATAAAAAAATAAATTCTCATATATATATATATATATATATATATATATTCAGACTGAATTGTTATATACTCCAATAGATAGGAACTAACTAAAATCTACTGATCCAAGCTGAGATCGATATAAAATATTCGATAGAGATACATTTGATAACAAATTAGTTTTTTTTTTCTCTAACTCTCCCTCTTATTTTAAATTACTTCAAAGCTATTATTTATCTATAGACGCTTTCTTAAAAAAAAGAAAAGAAAAAGTTACATTTTACGAGATTGACCCGTACCTTGATAAAATCAGTATTAAACAAATGATTTCGATGTTTTCGCGGTGACCGAGTACGAATTTCCCCGACAACATTTTTGAATATTTCTTGCGTTTATTTGAGTTCAATTCTCGAAAGATTAATGAACTGAGATGTTTTTCTTTTTCTTCCTGGTTTTAT